AGACAGCATCTTAAAAAGCGGAGACATCACCTTGCCAACAAAGGTGGTTTTCCCAGTAGTGATGTATGGAAGTGAGAGCTGGACCATAAAGAAGGCTGATCGCCGAAGAATTGATGCTTTTGAATTCTGGTGCTGGAGGAGACTCTTGAGAGTCCCATGGACTGCAAGAAGATCAAACCGATCCATTCTGAAGGAAATCAGCCCTGAGTGCTCACTGGAAGGACAGATCCTGAAGCTGAGGCTCCAATACTTTGGCCACCTCATGAGAAGAGAAGACTCCCTGGAAAAGACCCTGATGTTGGGAAAGATGGAGGGCACAAGGAGAAGGGGACGACAGAGGATGAGATGGTTGGACAGTGTTCTGGAAGCTACCAGCATGAGTTTGACCAAACTGCGGGAGGCAGTGGAAGACAGGAGTGCCTGGCGTGCTCTGGTCCATGGGGTCACGAAGAGTCGGACACGACAAAAGGACTAAACAACAACAACAATTGCCCCAATATGTGCTGCTTAGTGATGCCACCTTCAGATCACTGCCACCATCTGTAAGGGCTAATTAGGAACCTTGTCAGAAAGGAATCAAGCAGCACAGCTTTATGTGGCAAAATGGCTATGGTTGTTCCTCATTTCAGCATCTGAAAGAGTTGGAGGCAGTGCTTGTAGGTTTGTTTGGTCATTAATTTGCAAAGATCCAAACTGCACTTACAAATAATTCTGTACCTGGTTCCAGAGAAGGTGAGATGCAAGCTTTTGCCAGCATGTGTGTGAGATTTGTATAGACTAATATGAAGGACATTTTTATTATAGGGATTAATCTGTGTTTATTGTTTTCATCACTGTCTGTTGAAGTCTTCTGAAATGGAATATTTTATGAGTCAAAGCCACACTTTGTTGATAAGGCAAGATATAAACGGACTAATCCAAACTATATGTCATGTGCTGGTTTTAAGGCATCCCATATGGTATAAAAAGTAGTATAAGCAGAAAACCCTGCTTATCTGGGGCCCAGTCACCAAGTATGTCAGGGATATTGCTTATCAGTGGCAAAACCCCCAAAACATTTACATATGTTGAAACCTTATGCCAGCCCCTTACTTAGCATTTTATTTTAATTAACAAAAGCATTCACCAAGCCATGCCTTATTTATCATAGGTCTAATAACAAGCTTTATTTGCAGGTAGGACCGTAATTTTATTTCCTGTGCTCATATTTTTTCTCTGTTTATTTTATACATATTCACATTGATTTTATTACCATTCGTACATCATTGTTGTTTTTTTGTGGTGGGAGAATTTCATGCGGAGATTTGTTTAAAACTCTTTGGAAACAAAAAGTTCCTTTAAATAGGTTCCATTGCACAATATCAACATTTAGGCGGCTGTCATGCTCATGAGGATGAACCTAAGCAAATGAATGGGGAATTTCCCCTCATGACAGTAAGGGAAAGGGAAAGGGAAAGGGAACCCTGGCCATTAGGTCCAGTCGTGGCCGACTCTGGGGTTGCAGCGCTCATCTCGCTTTATTGGCCGAGGGAGCCGGCGTACAGCTTCCGGGTCATGTGGCCAGCATGACTAAGCCGCTTCTGGCGAACCAGAGCAGCGCACGGAAACGCCGTTTACCTTCCCGCCAGAGCAGTACCTATTTATCTACTTGCACTTTTGACATGCTTTCGAACTGCTAGGTTGGCAGGAGCAGGGACCGAACAATGGGAGCTCACCCCATTGCGGGGATTGAACTGCCAACCTTCTGATTGGCAAGTCCTAGGCTCTGTGGTTTAACCCACAGCACCACCCGCGTCCCTCTCATGACTGTAGGAAGGTTTATATAGCCATAGAGCTTGGTCCATTACTGTGCTGCGGAAGACGGTCGTGAGAGACACTGCACTTCCCCCCAGGAACATCTCAGTCATGGCTGGGAGCCAGCAAGCATGCAACCCAGCAGATGCGCTCTTTACAGCAACACTGCTGCATCACAGAGGAACACTTCCAACAAGTTAGGTCTGTGTTAGTCCCTTGCATAGAGTTACCAGATGTCCCCGGTTCCCAGGGTCAGTCCCTGGATTTGCAAATCTGTCCCCAGACAAATTCCATCCCTGGAATGTCCCCAGATTTGCAAACCTGTCCCTGCTGAGGCTGCCACTGCCAAAGGGGAACCGGGGACATCCGGCGGTATAGATCTCCTGCCCCCTTCCCCCTTTGTTTTGACTGATTGGGGAAGGCTCAGGAATCGCAGATGGCTGGCCGTTGCCCAGTTTTTTAAAAACTGTGCATTTATGTTTCACAGGATGTGAAAGAAGGGCTTTGCACCTTGCCTGGCAGAGAAACCACATGCCTTGTGCCCCTCCTGGGCAACAGCTGCCCACCCGTGACTCCAAACCCGTGACTCCCAAACAAAAGCTGCCCACCCGTGACTCCCAAACAAAAGGGGAAGGGGGCAGAAGATCGGGGAAGGCTTGGGAGTCACGGGCGGACAGCACACCATTGCCCAGGGTTTTTTAAAACTCTGTGCATTTATGTTTCACAGGATGGGAAAGAAGGGCTCTGCACCTTTATACAACATGCATGTGTGCTTGGGCCCAGGGTCTTTTGCCTCACCATCCCCGCTACTGACTCCCTGTTGCTACTCAGCTTCCCAAAAAAGTGTCCCCAAATTCATTGAAAAAAAATCTGGTAATCATACCCTTGCAGCAAAGGCACGGCATTCTGACGCAGCACGCATTTGCCACCGGGAGCTCATCTGCCGCAACAGCCACCAGCCAAGGCATGTTGGTGCTGAATTCCTGCACTGAGCAGTTGCAAGGCACCAGTGAAACAGCGCAGCAAAAGTGCCCTGCAGTATTCTGGCAACAGGGCTGAATGACAACAAAGCAATATTGTGTTGTTGTTGTTGTTTTAAAAAAAGGATTGTGTTCTTCAAGTACAAAAAAAGAAAATCTTGCAAAAATCAGATCTGCCCCTAGGTATGTAACAAGGGTGTGGGACAGCTCTTGAATTTGTATATGTATGCAGAGGTGAAGCAAGGTGGGTGCAGTCCGCCCCAGGTGTCATCCTGAGGGGGGGTGACATTTGGCGTGGCATGTGCGCCTTTGCCCCCACTCCCGACTGGAGGAGACAGGCAGGCAGGCAGGCAGGCAGGCAAGAGGACGAGCTGCGCGGCTCCTCCCCCTAATGGCTTGGGGTATGCTTGGGAGTCACGGGGGGGCCGCCAGGGCACCATTGCCCCCACTCCTGGCTGGAGGAGGCAGGCAGGCAGGTAGGGGAGAGGACAGGTGTCTTTCCTGAAGGGGGGGGTGACATTTGGCACACCCACTGCCTGCGACTCCCAAGCCTACAGTGAGCGGCGGCCCATCATGGCTGCCGGCAAAGCGGCAAAACTCCCTTCCCCTAGCTCGCTGTAGGCTTGCGAGTCACGGGTTGGGGGGGGGGGTGACAAAAAAAAAATCCACACTGGGTACCACCTGACCTTGCTACGCCTCCATATGCTTGATTGACTTGAATTTAAGTCAACTCTTTAGTCCTGAGAAAGTTGCTACCATCAGAAGGTTCCAAGAAGCAAAGATGCCATGGAAAACAATTGGGGTTGGTTCTCTGGCCCCCAGACTCAAATGCTGAATATTGTATGGTTCTAAGGATACAGAAGGGACGCAGGTGGCACTGTGGGTTAAACCACAGAGCCTAGGACTTGCCGATCAGAAGGTCAGCGGTTCGAAACCCCGTGATGGGGTGAGCTCCCGTTCCTCGGTCCCTGCTCCTGCCAACCTAGCAGTTCAAAAGCATGTCAAAGTGCAAGTAGATAAATAGGTACTGCTCCAGCGGGAAGGTAAACAGCGTTTCCGTGTGCTGCTCTGGTTCGCCAGAAGCGGCTTAGTCATGCTGGCCACATGACCCGGAAGCTGTACGCTGGCTCCCTCGGCCAATAAAGCGAGATGAGTGCCACAACCCCAGAGTCGGTCATGACTGGATCTAATGGTCAGGGGTCCTTTTACCTTTACCTTTAAGGATTCCTAGTCCCCTGACTTCACAAACCAAGAGGGAATAACTTAGTCACCTCATTTGACTGTGCCCAAACCACCTTATATTGAGGAAGGACATGTCACATTTCAAAAGTTGGAGTCCCCTCCGACAATAAGCCAGATTAATAGGCCATTTGAGATCTCCCCATTATGTACATGAGAATTGCCTAGTTGGATCAGTCTCAAAGTTGATCTTGCCCATGGTATCGATATCAACGGTCACCTGAAGTAACCTGCCAGGTGCCCCCAGGAAACACAAGGTCTCCTGACCAAGACAGCCCCAGCTATCTACTGCTCCTGGCTGCCCTGCGTCATATGGCTACTTCCACCCCCTACTCTGTAAAGTACTTACAAGAGAACGATGTGTAAAGGTCCAAGACATCACGGCAGCAAAATAAAGGAAGGGAGAGGCTGGCTCCTTTGCCATACACACAAGCCCTCTTTTCTCCCCTCATTGCAGCTGGGTAGCATCATCTATAGTTTGGACTTATGGTTGCACAGAAGGTCCCCTCTGCCCTTGTCTGGTCAGTTTTGCAAGGCTTTATCTGATGCACTAAAGGGAGACTCCCACATCTGGAGTGGTGGGTAATTTCAGACAAGCAGAGCCCACAAGAAAATTAGATAATAAAATCACGGCACGAGGGGTTTTTAACAATTCAGGCAGACGTATGAAACTGCCCTTAGAAACCCTGCATTGTAACTACATAAACTTACTGGTATTAAAGGCCGCCAAGATATTAAACTGAAGCAGTGCAAACATAGTGCCGACATTGTGAATTCTCTACCACACTCAGCTAGACCCCAGTCCTTTGTCTCCACATCGCTTCTCATTCGACCCTATCAGTTTATGTACGCACCCAGTTCTCAGTTCAGCAGGCTGAAACTTCAGCTCAGAATGGTCTGTCAATAAAACCAGACTCGTTTATATGCTGCCCACACGTGCCGTCCCTCTCCCAAATATAAATGACATGGTTTAAAAAAAATAAAAAATCGAGATCATCATCCAAGTTTATTTCCCCCCCTAGAATCCTTAGCATGCTACAATACCCCAACAAATGTTAATCATGAGCTCATTTCTCACAAGACATTTTCATGCAACTCACAGCTGTATTTGACTTTCCATTGACATTATACAGGTTTCTATCTAGCCATGTGAATCGTGTTGAAGGTGTCTCCAAAAAGTGTGCACGCTTCCATTGCACGGGAGCGGCAGACTCTTGGCCAGTCTTTCATGACTCTTGGTTTTCAAACCAGGGTGATTATTGTCATAAAGTCAACAAGGTCCTTCTTAAGTCCATTTGCCAATGAATTATTTGCTTTTGATATCTTATGTCCTGAGGAGTCCTCTTCTCAAACACTGCATTCAAGTACAATATCAACATTCCCAACTGTCTGCAAGGCAAGACTTATTTGCTCCACTCTAAAATGTTCTGCAATCCCTGGTTCCTCACATCTATGCTTAAAATTAATCTTCCCCCCCTTTTTTCTGCAATAAACATTCAGCACTAAAGCCATGAAGTGGTAGCTATTTGGCATTTTCCAGTGAAGTGCAAGAAATAAAATAAGTTATGTCTTTATTGCTAAAGGATAGTAACAAGCAAAATCACTTTTTTTTAATAATACAGTAACAAGGGCCGTCATTCCTTCCTCTTGATACCCATTAGTTCTGCCACATTGCTAAATATCATTGTAAATTGTCGTTCTAAGAGGATGTGTTTAGTATTCTAGAGTCTGAGGAGTCCGATCTTTCATCATAGTCGTCTTCTGTATAAATAGGCTGTTTGGAGACAATTGGGCATCCATCGTCAGGGATGGAGATCCTGGGATCTTCTGACGGCCGCGTAGGAAGCACTGGAGAACTTCGGAAGACGCTGGTGGTATTGGTGGAGAAAGGGCTGACATACTGAGACCTCAGCTGGTACTGCTGCTGCAGCGTCATGGTGTTCCACAAAGTGACATCGTTGGGCAGAAACGGGCTGGATTGGTTTCTTGCCAAAGTATTCCTCAGCATCAGCGGGTACCGAGGTGGCTGTGGGAACGGGTGCTGTAAGGGGACAGCCAACGGATTGGGCACAACATTACTAGCGTCAGCAGAAAACCTCAGGGTGTCTGGAACTCTGAAGGCAGACCCTACAGACCACTTGGAGGAAGAAATGGGATACGAACCCAACGTGTGTTCAAAGAGGTGTCCATTTGAAGGCAAAACCAGACCTTCTGATTCTGCAGAAGTTCGGTCCCCCCCAGCTATGGAGGACCTGCTCGAGAGAAGAACCTCAACCGCACTCACCAAGTCACCCCCACAGCCCTTCAAGATTAATTCAAGCACGGTTGGCTTTTGGTTGGGAAATATCTTTTTTAACACCTCAAGGGGTGGCCGGTTGGCTTTCAAGCCAAAAGGCAGAGAAACTGTCCCTGACGGACCTTCGATCAGGAGGTGGTTTGGCTCTGGCTGGTACTTGGGGCTCTCAGGCCTGCTGTCGGTGCTGCCGCTGTTTTTCTGGATGGCGTAGCCTCCTTCATCCACGGACACAATCTCTGGGCTCTCTGGAGCAAAACCGCTCTTGGCTTTTGTCAAGTCTGGGGTGCTCCTTTGGTCGGCGTCTTTGTCACTGTAGGTCTCGGCACTGTCCACTCCGCTGGCATCCCCCAGTCGATCTTCGGTCATGTCTGTAAAACAGAGGGCAGATTTGTTATGCCAGGAACAGCTCTTAAAAGGAAGGGGAAGTTCCAGTAAGTATTAAAGGAGGCGCTTGATAATAAAGTCAGACTGCCGGTTCGACTGTGGGTCCTTCCCATATCTGCTACCTTCAGGGCTGTTATGAGCACAGCAAATCAGAGGCGGACCATTTTATAGTTCAAATCGGGGGAAATAAATACAGTAAATTAACAAATGTACAAAGATTCACAAAATGTTTAGGGGTATGCGTACCCCCAGGAAAAAAAGCACTGGAGATGGACATAACAAAGCTATTCTGTCTGTCTCTGTGTCTCCCTATAACAGTTATATACTTACTTAGTTATGATTTAATTCATAAATAAGTATATAAATAATTTTCACAAAAGTTATGCTGACAAATAATTTTATTTCAAGGCTTGAACTGTATCTGCATATAAAGACAAAATGGAAAATATAGATAAATATGCTGACCGAGGTCCCCTTTGGAATCGGAGGCCCGGGCCAAGTGGCCCATATGCCCCCCCCCCCCCCCGTCTGGGCCTGCCTTTCCATGACAAAAACCACAGACGTGCAGAATGAGCTTGACAAAGGGGGTGTTCTCTTTTTCTCCTCTCCAACTTTCCTTCATTTAGGCAAATTCTGTGGAGCTCATATCTCGATAGAATACTCTGTTTAAATAACCAAGCATAAACAGCAAAGAACCTGTGAACACTTGTGCCTTATGTTCTAACACATTGAACTCTATACCTACCCCAGCACAAAAATATTTATTTCCAAGTTTGTAAAATATATACTCTTATTTAAGCTCATGTATCCTATGACTCTCCCAACCACCAAATTTCTGGGGGCTGGAGGGTGAAGACTCATAAAACTATGAATCATAAAGGTGAATCATTATTAGGTCTAGAACATTTTCAGTGTGGTTTGAAAGAAATGCTTTATGTTAAAAATTCTGCTAATATTTTGGCTGTCCTTGAAATTACACATCCAGTGCCTTGATATTTAATTTAGCAGGGCTACAAGGCATGATTAGCAATGCGGGTGGCGCTGTGGGTTAAACCACAGAGCCTAGGACTTGCCGATCAGAAGGTCAGCAGTTCGAATCCCTGCGATGGGGTGATTTCCCATTGCTTGGTCCCTGCTCCTGCCAACCTAGCAGTTCGAAAGCACGTCAAAGTGCAAGTAGATAAAGAGGTACCGCTCCGGCGGGAAGGTAAACGGCGTTTCCATGCGCTGCTCTGGTTTGCCAGAAGCAGCTTAGTCATGCTGGCCACATGACCTGGAAGCTGTACACCAGCTCCCTTGGCCAATAAAGCGAGATGAGTGCCTCAACCCCAGAGTTGGTCACGACTGGACCTAATGGTCAGGGGTCCCTTTACCTTTACCTTTTACAAGGTGTGATTAGAACCATTTGCTGCACCCCTGCAGGCCAATGCAGTGTGTGTGTGTGTGTGTGTGTGTGTGTGTGTGTGTGTGAGAGAGAGAGAGAGAGAGAGAGAGAGAGAGAGAGAGAGCGGGGGGGGGTCTTACGTACCAGAAATAGTTTTGATAAGATTAGTTAAGGTTACAACAAAATTTACAAGGTTGGTAAAATAACAGTTTTTATTAGAGCCAGTTAGTATTCAGAATGCACTCTGCAAGTTTCCATGTTGCATAAAAAACTTTCATACATGGGTCATTCATTGAAAAATATCTGTAAAAGAAACAATAGATGTTTCTGAAAGAAAGTGCGTATTCCACACTTCCGTGAGTCCCGTGTGTAAATCGGAACAAGGGACAATCCACAGAAAACTTGATTGCCATTTGTTCCAACTTAGCACAGGGCAAATGCAAAACCACTCAGACACACGCCTAGAAAACAAGGGGCATTTTTGCCATTATTTACAGGGAAATCAAGGAAGTTCCTACAGGTCAAGTTGGGAACTTACATAGTGACTGAAAGTATTTGCATGCCTATGTGATTCTATTCTGTCTTATACCTGATAAATCTATACACCTTAACTCTCTGGATAGCAGTTCTAGCTGAAGGACAATGTTTAGTTATGATTTATTGCTCCGTTATTCATTTTTATGTTGCCTTGCATATATCAAACTGTATCCTAGTTAATTCTTCATTGAAACTAGAAGTCATCCAGAGTATAAGTTGAAACCTAACTTTGCTTAGAGGTCAAGCTGATTAAAATATATTTTGTTTTTTATGAACTGAAACTGCTTTGCACCCGGGATTCCACACAGTTTTGCATTTTCTAAAACTGAACACTTGAAAAATAGCAAGTTTGTTATTGGACTTGAGGCAGGTTCGGAGTCAAGTCCACAAGCAGTTTCCTCAAAAGTAGCGGAGCATCTCCTTTAGCTAAAATAATGTTAATAATAACTTGGACAGATTAGACCCTAACAATAAAATGTTGTGCAAACAGTGTTATTTATGAGCAACAGAAAGAGCAAAGGCATCTACTGATTTCCACTATCACTTTTTATTTTAAAACATAGCACTTGATCGCTTTGTTTCTTTTAACATTTTGCGCATGTCAGCCTCAAATTGTTGTTTCTCATTGAGGTGACAGTTCTTTGACACTGTGCATACTCCTGGATCTGCCAAGGAAGCACAAATGATTTCTGGCTGAATAAATAGCTGAATTTATCCCAAATGAATGTATTCATTTTGTTTGTATTGGCTGTCGGTTTCCTGGTAAACAATTTGCAGCCTTCATCGTTGCTTTCCACCGTTCAGGGGTTCACCTTCTATGCAGCTTCCTATTGTAGTTTAGAATATGGATATATTCACACTCACCCATAAAACAGCCTTTGCAGATTTGACGCCATGTGCCACAGTCGTGTAATACTTTGATGGTTCTGAATCTGTGTGTCCCCAGAGAGGCAGACCTCCAGAGCGGCTCCTCATTTCAAGAAGCAACACTCTAGTCGGAAGGAGTTCTCCAGGACATTTGATGGATGAAGATTTCCCCCTCCCCTCACCTCAAAGCCGTTAAGCAGAAAGTGCTGACTAGCTGGCAGGGAAGTATTTCTCATCAATGCTCTTTGATTGTATTTTGCAAACAAAATGCCTGCTGCCTGGTAACATTTCACTTGAGCCTGACCTTCCCCAAAAGTTATTGCTATCAGATTCGATTTACACTGTCCTCCCATGATTACTGTAATCTTTTAAACTGGGGAGTTCATTTATCAGGGAGGCAGGGAGTGCGAGTCAATCGTGCTTCTATCCATCAGATTTATAAGCTTCTTGCAGCTCAGAGGAGCTTCTGTTCTCAGGCCACGTCCCTCCCAAAAACAGCTGGAAATGCCGAACCGCCTCTGGACTTCAGCGGTACTTTTTCCTGTGGGAATGTTCAGGGAGGCAGGAGAAGATATATTGTTTATTAATATCCTTCCTAACTTGTGCTAGCAAGTTCCTTTACTGAGCAGAGTTTACATTCCCCTTTTTAATTGCACAGCAGGTAGCTGGTTGCAGGCTCGTGTGAGCCTCTCACTATTATACAATTCAGTACAGTCATACCTCGGGATAAATGTGCTTCAAGTTAAGTATTTTCAGGTTGCGCTCCGCGGTGACCTGGAAGTAACGGAGCACATTACTTCCAGGTTTCGCCACACGCACATGTGCAGACAGTCAAAATGAAGTCACGCGCATGCGCAGAAGCGGTGAAACGCGAAGCGCAATCCGCGCACGCACAGCCGCAGGGACACAGGTTACGTTCGCTTCAGGATGCGAATGGGGCTCCAGAACGGATCCCGTTCGCATCGCAAGGTACCACTGTATTGAATTGTATGTTCCTGGTAAGTTCCCTTTCATCCTTCTTAAAAGAATAAACACGTCACAATCTTGTATAAAGTATATAAAAGTAGTTTACTCACATTCTGTTCACAGTTGTATCCCAGAAGGCAGACTTAGTTACAAACTATATACATGTGGATCTTATCCCAGGCTTCCTCAACCTCGGCCCTCCATATGTTTTTGGCCTACAATTCCCATGATCCCTAGCTAGCAGGACCAGTGGTCAGGGATGATGGGAATTGTAGTCTCAAAACATCTGAAAGGCTGAGGTTAAGGAAGCCTGATCTATCCCATATGGGGGTAATCCCAGGGTACTGGGATTTTTAGCATATCTAGCTAAAACGCTGCTCTAACAACAGAGGAAGTAAAAAAGGGAGCGAGTGCAGCGTGCCCTGTACTTTTGTTAACCTGAACAGGTAAGGTCACGCCCACCTCTAAAAGGTAAAGGGACCCTTGACCATTAGGTCTGGTCATGGTCGACTCTGGGGTTGTGGCGCTCATCTCACTTTATTGGCTGAGGGAGCTGGCGTACAGCTTCCAGGTCATGTGGCCAGCATGACTAAGCCGCTTCTGGCGAACCATAGCAGCGCACGGAAACGCCATTTACCTTCCCGCTGGAGTGGTACCTATTTATCTACCTGCACTTTGTGCTTTCAAACTGCTAGGTTGGCAGGAGCAGGGACCGAGCAACGGGAGCTCACCCCGTCGCAGGGATTCAAACTGCCAACCTTCTGATTGGCAAGCCCTAGGCTCTGTGGTTTAACCCACAGCACCTCCCGCGTCTAGTCACATGCAAAAGAAGTATGTCCCAGTCAGGAGGAAATGGGAAGTTTTTGACTGGCTGGACCAAACATTCCCCCACATGTCCACTCTAGGAAAACAAGGAATGTGGTACTTGACTGCTACTTATGTATCACATCCCACATTTCCAAAGTGAAGGAGGGGCCAATGAAGCCCTCCAGGGTTGTGTTGCCTGGAACGCAGGACACAAATCTCAGAGGATGCTTAGGGACTCACGAATGCAGGGCTGGGGACCAGTGGCCCTGCACAGGCAGGTGGACCACCTTCCATCAGTCCCAGACAGCATGGCCAAGGGAGTTATAGCAAAGGTGGAACTAAGGGAGCACAGCCGGTTTGGTTGCACCGGGTGCAAGGCTTCTGGGGTGCTGCAGAAGACAAGAGGCAGGGGTGCCAGATTTT